AAACCCTCTTCGTCGGTCGGAAAAGCCCCCGTCTCGGGAGTGGAACCGTCGTCGCCCAAGGTTTCCTGTATAGGAAGAGTGCGATCGAAGCGCGGTCGCCGGAGATCATCGGGTAAGCAAGAAATGTCGCTCGACAAGTCGAGATCGCTTGGGGATAAGCGGAAAAAGGGGTTCTATTCTCGGGTTTTGTCCATATTTAAATCCAGAAGTCATGACAGAAAACCGTTTCGACCGGAGGAGTCGACCGTGGAGGAGACGCCAAGGACGAGCGTGACTGTAAGAATGCCCGAGTTTCCGGCTGGTGTCGAACCCGCATCCGAACCGCCCGGTTTGGGAGGGCTGAAGAAGTTTGCGTCCGGTCGGAGATCGGAGTCGTGGAGCACTGAGGATTTCGACGTGGCACTTTCTAATTCGCCGGAGGCAGACGGTCCCGCGAAAAGAAGTTGATTGATTGATAGAAGTCGTGACAAAACCGCGGGCATGGAAATTGTATGTGAGCGTTGAAATTTTGGGGTTGTGATGACGTGGCAGTGAAGAATGGCCGAACCTCGTTGAATTCGAGGTAGATCAAGGCAGTTGATCTTGCCTTTTTTTGCCCTTTTCTCTTTCTTTTTTTTTTTTTGAATTGGGTTTTGCTTCACTTGTAAATATGCGTGATTTACTGCAAAGCCTGTAAATGCAAACATTTTGTGGATCACACCCCCACCTATCTAGACTATAGTATCTGGTTAATCTATTTTTCTCTTTTTCTTCTCCATATAATCTTTGGGAATTGATTGTAGAATTTTGTATTGTGGTCCTTTGAATTGGTTGAATATATTTTTTTTTTCTCAAAAACTTGTGTGCGAGAATTTGTTTTTGTTCAACTGAGGTATTATTTGCGCCCGCGCGTACATACATACATATATATAAACGTGAGTGGAACAATTCAATTTTATTGGAGAACAAAACAGTTTATATGAGTAAGTTTTATATTTATTTTTCCCAATTCAACTGCAAGTACTGGTGCAATAATCATATGATTTGTGCATTTTTTGGTTAGAGTGACTGTGATCACATTCATACCAATTTTTTTTTTTTTGGGTGAAAATAGGGATTAATAAACATTCTCTGTCATGAGAACATTAATCACATGTTATGCTTCCACGTCCCGCGCTGTAGTTCAATGACACTCTGTCTACTGACTCCATAGACATTAATATTATTATTGTATAACATATCTCAAGTACAATGATCAAAAATAAAGGAAGAGCACAATTTGATTGTTTAAGGAAATTTGGCACCAAAGCTTCGATCGAGGATTAGTTCATCAGTTTTGTAACCACATGATTGTAAATCTTATTTTGAGCCTTGCTCAAGTTGTATAGTTATCCTTCTTATTAATAAACTAGTTTTGTATCCGTTCGTTGAACGGGAATCGTCGAAAAATAATAAACTATTTAGTTAATTTTATAAAAATGTTAATATAAAATATAAATTTAATGTATAATCTATTATAACTTGTCTTGAGTATATTACTATGTGCTCAAATAGAAATTTATATTTGACCGTACGGGTCAAATACATATAGTTAATTGGATTCAATTAACTTTTTCTTGTCCATAAATTTCGTGCTATGCACTATATCTTGATAACGCACTTAATAATAAAATTTATTAAGAATCCTATTTCCAATATCAGATATTGACTTCTGTTATTAATGGTTCCTTTTGAAATTAGTTACTTTTCTACCTCTTGTAATGATAACAATTCTTATTTACTTCGGTTCCCTATGCAGTACAAAAATTATTGACATGAATTTGAAAATATATCTAATAGAGATATTTATGTCTCTTTTATTTATATCGCATTACTTTCTAGTTCCTTTTTTGGGTAGGAAATAAGAATTGTTATAGGAAATAAGAATTGATATACATCCAAACAAAAAAGGAGCAAGTCATGTAGGAAATTATTTTCCAGTTCCTTTTTTGGGTAGGAAATAAGAATCATATTATATTAAGATTTCTTATAGAAAATAAGAATTGATATACATCCAAACAAAAAAGGAGCAAGCCACATAGGAAACTACTTGCCGTCTCGTTAAGCCACGTAGGAAAAAGAAAACATGAACGGATAAGAATGAGAATACGACTTTATTATATATATATATATATATATATATATATGATTTCTATCGATTCAAAAAAAGATAATAATAACGTAAGTGCGATAAATTTGGTTCTTTGGAGCAAGAAAAGTAGAATATATTTTGACTAACAAATCTGCACCATTTTTTCATCAAGGGTCTGCGTTGAATTGTTTTAAACATTCAGCTTTACAGGTAGAAACGTTAGTTACATGATATTGACTCGATTTAATTTAACTGAGTTGAATTTCAGCTTAGCTAGTAGGAGCGTATTTATTATTCGAGTAATTATGAGTTCTGTAGTTCTATCTGATTCAAATTAATTGATAAAAAAACATTCAGTCATTATGAAGCTTTTAATTCGACTCGCAAGTCATTCACCTTCTTCCCTTGACCTGAAAATGGCGTTGAGTTGAATGAAACACAGAGGGTGGACCAGTCCCACTTGAAAAGGTTTCGTAAAGTAGTTTTCTACCCCCTTTTTTTTTTTTTGTTGGGCCCGCGGGGGAGGGGGGGCGGGTTTACATTGTTGGTGGTCATTCTGTTTATGCGGGCCGCAATTACACATTTCCTCACACGTCACAAGGTGTCAAACGCTTTGATTTTGCAGCTCGCGAATTGTGATAATCATCTTTCATGTTTATTCTTGTTTTTGGTTTCGACATTCATTTGATTTCAGCGAGGAAGCGGATCCCATTTTTTCCCCAAAATTATCATCATAAATTTGAATAAAGCCAAGTGTCGTTCTTAAGTAGGTTCCGGAATACTTAGGATAAGATCTACCATTTAGCAAGGAACGACGTTAGAACTTTGATCACGGCTTGCACAAAGGCGGACTTTTCTTGTTTTTGTCGTCCAGCAAGACGAGGAGTGTTCTTGTTGCCTCAGGAACCAGCCATCAAGATTGAACCTTTTGGTGGATTACATATACCGGTGCTGAAAGTACATGCGATACGTGTACAATTTAGAAATATTTTATTTTACATAAAATTTTCATTATTAAAGCAAATTATGGTACTTAAACCTTTTTTTCCCCATGAAATGATGGAACTTTAGTAGTTATAATGTATAGATACATTTATTTGGTCAAGATATGTTCAGATAGATAGTTATGGTTACTAGTAATTCATGTTTGGTAGTAAAGCAATGAATGATTTTTATAAACATAAATTTGCAAGTACATAAAATTATTTATCCAACCATCCTCTCTTTCTTTATATATAGTATAAATATAACAAAGTAACAAGACAAACATCAAAATGGGGCTTTGGTTGGTATTTTTCCAGCCCTAAATGAGAAGATCAGCATTGGCAATGGCACCTTTGGAATTATTTGGAGATTTTCCACCAAGTCCTAGAACGACTTTCCTCCTTCTCCAAGTTAGGGTGGAGATGGCATCAAATTCTATTGTTAGGTTTTTTTTTTTTGTATAAACAAACACTTGGGTAAACCCGATTTACGTAGATCTAATGATTCAAAATTTGCCATATCATTTCACCAATCTAAGTATTAAAGATGCGACAAAATTTGGACCATTAGGTCTTGCAGACCTAATGATCTACCCAAGGTTTGCCTTCCGTATAAGCATGGGACAATTAGGGTTGCAAAATCGAGTTCGAGTAGGCCAATTTGAAATCGAGCTCGAGTTTGAACTCAAAAATATTAATTTCGTTAAACCTCGAGTATATATAAATATTATTTTTAATCATAAAATTACATATATATCCATAATATTTTATTAGTTAATAAGAAAAAAAATTATTTATTTATTTTTTAAAAATAAATAATTATTTTTTATTTTTTCGAATTCGAACTCGAGCCCAAGCTTTAAAGTGGTAACTCGTCGAGCTCGAGTTTGATAAAACTAAGTTAAGGTTCAACTCAATTAAACCAAAGTTCGACTCGACTTAACAATTCGTTTTCAACCCTAGATACGATAGAACTACACAGTGCCCATCCCAAGTCCTGATATATGTCCATAAATAGGATTTTGCTTATGAAGGCTTGCCTTCTTTCTTGATTTTCTGCCTCGGGAATAAGGATTATCCACATTTATCAAATAAATTATTTTTGAATATTTATATTATATATAAAGGGAGAATGGCATAAATTTTTTTTTTTCATTTTAAAAATTTTCAACTTTACTCTAACATTCGCTTAATTATTCCTTTACCATCTGATTACATATTACGCATATTGCCAACCAATGTAATTACAACTAATTTTTACCCATAGCCACCCACAAACATTATAACCACCAAGTGAATTATAATACATAGGATCAATTTGACTAAAGATAAAATTATAGAATTGTCAACATATTTAAACAGTCCATTTTTCTACCTTTTCAACTGAAATATTTGCCACAAAAACTAAATAAAATATTCTCAAATGGATAATATGCCTATTGTTTTCATTGAGGGGGAGAAGTGTCATTACGCACCACTTTCCCGGGGACAGAGAGAGAAGGAGGGGGGGGGGGGGAGTGTCATTAGCCCTTGTATCTTATAAGTACCGAAGAAAAGGAAGTCCAATCATTCTGAAATCTAGACCAGCAGTTGTGAGAGTTGAGACAGGCCAACCACTCAAAAGCTATAAACTTTTAAATTATGTATGCTACTTACCCTTTATCTTGACTCCTTTCATCAGTTCATACGCTGAATTAGTATCTGGTTGATCCATTTGCATTCACTAAAAGATAATTGGTTTCGTTTAGCATAATTAGGCACTTGATTCTTGAAAAACAAAGGAAAAAAAACAAAAAAAGCAAAAGTAGGCCCCTGAATACTTGTAGAACCGTAATTAGAGAGAAGTAATACTAGAAAACGTGGTATTTCAGAGTTTTCCGTAATGAAATGGTGGACAAAGTCATCATGCGCAAAAGGAATCATTCATTATAAACACGCACGTGCTTAAACTTCTCTATTTATTAGTGAAATTCTTTAGAACTCTTGCTCTCTGCACCTCAAGCCTTTGCAATTTCTCAACAAAATCTCATCACAACAGTATAGTAAAACCTCTTGCTTTCCTCACCAACATATATATATGTGCTGAAAACCTTGCAAGGCACTCAGCAAGTTTCATTTAATGAGGCCAGTTAAAATGGATTCAAATTCTAGACTGGGATCACCTCTCTTCATATAGCTCAACTAGTCGTCCATTGAGTGGTTGCACTGGCCTTGAATTGTTCTTGTACGCCCATCCTAATGGAGCTTTGAGAGCTTGAACTTGCTCTGGTGATATTGATCTCACCTGTTTGTTATCAGGACGATTCAAATATAAAGTCTTTAGCTAGAATTTTTGCCATTTCATTTGTGCAAGTACATTTATCATGTATGCCCGTGGCCTAAATTAGTGGAATAAGTTCCTTTCATACCTTGCCAAGGATGTACCAGGCTACAGTCTGGTTGCAAGGAGGAGTAGTGAGAGAACCAGAATACCTATAATACTTGCGGGCATTTTTTCTGAGTTGATGCATGTTGAAGGTCCCTAGCGCAACCTGACCTCCCTCTTTAACTCCGGACATGTCTATGCCCAGTTGATACAATTTATTCTGCACCTGTGACCATGATGATGCATACGAACTTTCAGAGTTGAAATTTGATTTGGAAATGCGAATGTTAATTTACTACTGAAAGTTCTATTCACCGAATTGCTGCTGCCTCCAAGCTACCACAACAAAAACAGATTTAGCACTTGGAAATATATTAAAAGGACCTTGTTTGCTGGTTAACCTTGCAATAAGAGGGACACCTACATCAATTAACAAGTTCAATTTTTCTGAGTACACCATGTTTGGTAAGTGCACAAGTCTATCATAGATTAGTTTGATTACCTTAGCAATTAGCGGATCAGGATGTCCAAGATGGTAGAGGATACCTATGACTGCAATGCAGCCATCATCAGCAATGTGAACAAGGTGAAGTTCAGCATCGTATCTGTCATGATGATGATCAGATGCATTTGGTAAGTTATTAGTAGTACCTGGAAGAGTTGACTTGAAAAGCAAATAACAGAAGGCAAAACACAGTAAAATAACCCTTCAACAGTCTAAGGGGAAATAGAAGTACTAATTCCTGAAACCTACTCATTCCCCGCTCAGTCAAGTAATGCGGTGTAGAGTTAAACAGCACACAACAGAAAATTCTATTCTTCCATATCTGTTTGATCGCTTTGAGTTTTGAAGTGATGCAAATTCCTGTGTAATTGACATGCCCACATTGATTTAAATAGCAAGCCCTTTTCCCTAATTATTTTTCAGTGTAGAGTAACTAATCTGAAATGCTTGAGGGTAGTTATGCGGTGAGAGAGAGAGAGAGAGGGAAAGAAAGCATACTGAACTCCATCAATTCTGTGCTCAGAAGGAGAATGCCAATGCAGCTGACTGAATATGTAAGCCTTGCCATCTGAAATCAGTAAGTTTGTATTTTTACCGCATCGCAGCTGCAAGTCAGAAGATTTAACATTTCAGGAAGCAACGTTTAGACTTGGGAAGAAAGGCAGTTAAGCATAATCAGAGACAAAGAAATAGTGCTGGCAAATCATTGGCAGGCATATAATAAGATTTTCAAGTGTTGTAAACATAAAAAAACAATCCACATCAATGCATTAGACGAAGGAAAATATACAGAAACACGAAGAACATACTGACCTCAATGTTGAAACCATTGTTGACGAAGGTAGCATTGATGTAACTATATTCTCTGGTCAGCGGTTTCAATTTCTTGTTCAGAACAACCTTTCCCTTTGGAATGTCGATTGGCGACTGTGATTTACCTGTTGAGCACTCTGAGAAGCCGGGCTTCAAGCTTCCCCATTTGCTGGGGCCCGTGGCGCCCATGTAACTGAATGGGATCTGTACAATAGCCTCTGCACAGAACCATAACATAAACGTGTTGAAAACTGTTCCCCTGTTGAGTATAAGAGCACTACTAAATTCACCAAGAGTAAGAATGATACTGTAACTGCATTCTTTCTTTCCCCAACTGATGTATACAAGATTTTTCCACTTAACGGAACGGAAACAGATGGCTGTTGTCCTCTGCAAGAGCTAGCTGTAGTGCTAAAAGAATAATACTAGCAATTTGTATGCAGTTGAAAGTTACTTTCAACCTGTTTTTGCGAAAGCTTTTATTACCAGAATTTCTTTGAAAACAAACGAAGTTTGGTTATGACATGATAGTTGCAGATACGTATTGAAGAAATGCATTTACATATCTTTGGGAAAAGAAAAGAAAAGAATACATTTACACTAGAGGATGATACTGGGATCATATGTACCTTCTCCGAAGATAGGAGAAGCATGGATGATGATCAAGACTGTGGTTGCAAGCACGAAAATGGCGAACCCAGCAGGCATTGTTGCCGCTGCCATATTCCAGAAAACTTTTTTCCTTTGATTATACAGATAAACCTGGAAAATGTTTATGCAGAGAACCAGAAAAGTAACTCTAGTAGCTTATCATAATCCACATGGTAGACACTCAAAAACGAGGATAACATATATAGCGAGCCCCGGGCCGAGCCCAACAAGTGCTTGTCCAAGTTCTTGAAGCACCTATTGACTTTTTGATGTTGTCCCGTTATGAAAGCTATCCGACCCCATCTTGAAGCACCTATTGACTTTATTATGTTGTCTTACTATGTGCTTCACCTATTGACGTTTATACTTGTGTATATATATCCAGCTTTACAGAAGCATTTCTGCTAGCTTTCTTTAATATCCAAGGAGAAATTTTCAAATAAGAATGACCTGGATTAGGCGAAAATCAAACCAAGTGTGCAATCATAACAGATATAAAATAGCAAAGAAGAGACCAAATCAAAAAAGAAAGGATATTTAGGAAATTGACATGACGGATAAGTGTATCCTAATTTACATAATTCACGCATGATCCATATTCTGAGGTCATGATGCATGGATTGTCCTCTGGATTCATTGTTGATGTGTTTTTGACTTAGTTTAATTTTGAATGTTGTTTGAAGTAACCATCAATTTGCTTCTTATCTCCATATAATTATTGGCCGACATTTCAAACACCAAGGAACTTGAAGAATGTAAAAGATTATGGCCATATTCTCAAATGATTTTAGAAAGCTATTTTGTTGACTGACTTTAAAAACTTAAATTTTAAATTTTTTGGGTCCAAAAAAGCTGGAAATCAGAAGTAGGTCTTGAGGTGCTTTTGAATTCTGATTATGGCCTACTTTTTCATCCGGAGAAAATGGGTTTATGGGACACAGAGAGGAGGAGGAGGAGGAGGAGGAATGTGATGGGCGTAAAATGGGAAACGGAAAATAGAGTAGCCATTTTTGCGTGCTCCACCAGTTAGTTTTAGTTGACGGGATGAGAGATGGGAGGGGTGAAGAGTGGGGAGTGTGAGGGATAGCGTAGCGTTGATACTTTTTTTTTTTTTTTTTTTTGTTTCGGAGTGGATATTCGGGCTTTTAGCCCGACTAATCTCACTTCGGTCCAAAAGAGGAGGTCTCACTCCATTCCGAGCACGGTCCATTCCGAGCACGGTAACAAGAGGGTCCGAATCCTAATTGCCCAAATAAATCTACCATACCCTAAAGAGAGGAGCTGACCGCTCGAGCTTACGTGGTTGCCCAGTAAGTCTACCATACCTTAGCATAGCGTTGATTTTTTTTTTTTTTTTCTTTTGAAGCCCAAAGAGCATACGTCAATTTTTACAAACCTAAACCCCCGGTATCCTTTGAGGTCCCACAGAAAATTTATAACTATCAATTCAAACCCTCCCAACCCCGATGTGGGATACATCAAAGGGGACGACACCCCAAACCTCCACAACGAGAAGTGAGAAAGTGAGTGACAGAGAAGTGAGAATGGGAAGACTGACAGAAGAGAGAGGGATGACGTGGTGCTGCATGGGACTTGTTACCACTATTTACTAGTACTATATGATGTTGTGGGGTATCAGAGATGTTGTGTCCGACTCTAATCCGGTCCACGCTAATCTAAACGCCTACAGGCCTTCCTAACACCAGTACCTTTTTTTCTTTTTTGGGTTACATGGTAACATGGGATATAGATATATATATTTTTTCAATAAGGTTATTTCAACTTTTCGACCAAACTAATCTCCTAAACCTATGTAAAATCTTGCCCTAAGGATACACGGCGGCGAAGTAGCACGCACACAGCTAAGTAACATGGGATATATACAAGTTACTTACTACTCAAGTATTTGTCATTTTCTGGGGGACTGAACATCTTCACAGATGAAATGCGTACAAGTATATTAGAGGTAAGATTGCAATTTCTTTTTCATTGACATCATAGATTAGATTAGATGAAATTTGTAACTAATGGCACTTTTCCAATAGAGAGTAAGGCAAGGAAAGGAAGGTGTGGCTTACTCTTATTCTATTAGGCTTAGGCCTATCGGGAGTGAAGAAGGAGAGCAGACCTCTTATTTCTGAAATTTCTTTATTTCTCTTTCCAATCCGATCTGTCTGTAAATAATTACCTGTCTTTGTCGACGTCTTGCCTATGGGAGCAAAGATGAATTATGTTGGTTGATAGACGTCGTTAATTATCATCGCACGCCATTGCAGTTGACAACAGGTCAACGTCTATGCTTAGCCATCGCGGTTCATGATGCAGCCTGCAGCAGAGCCCAGCGCCGGATTTTATTGCGACAGAGAAGGGTTATGGCATCATCAATGCAATGCACCACACTTTTCAACAAGAGCCACTTCCAATCATCAACAGTTCGGCCGTTCTACCACAGCCTGTAACTGCACATTGAGCCCGAAGGTCAATTGCCAACGGCGATTAGGAAGCGTAAATCAGCCGGGGGTACGTTTGGATTGAATTCCAGCTTCACTACCATTTCTCCTTGTACTAGATTAATTACCACCTTACAAGACAACATCATAGGGAATCTCGCCATTGAGAAGATGTTATCATAACGATAGAACTTGTTTTGTCGTGCTTCTCTTCAGATTCTCATGGCACAATAGAAAGGCCTAACAAGGAGGAGGAGGAGCAGCAGCAATCTGTTGCCACTTTCGCAGAAGCCATCGTGACCGCATAGATTGTCGAAAGCCCACAGTAGCAGAATCTAATCTATTATTCACACCATACAACATGCCGATACTTTCAAAAAGTAGTGGAGCAAGTGCCATGATCGAAGTACCATTCCTTTTTACCCAAAAAGAAACTAACAAAATTATGCAAAATCCCACCAAAGTATTCAGTTGAAGTTTGAAGGGCCGCACAAAGCATCCTCACCCAATAAGATTATCGAGTCGCAATATCATGGTACCCATTTCCATTCTCAGATTAAGATCATCGCAAACAAATGGCGGAATGGAACAGGGGCGCTTCCTAGTTCTTTCCTTATCTCAAACCACCACTCCCAGGAAGATCACCAAAATGGGAAGGCCAAACAATGAAAAACATCAAGGGCCGCCACCACCACAGCCACAAGATAATGGATAGTGTAGCATGTGACGTTCAAGATTATTTTATGGAGGGGTCAAGATTCTTCAAAGGTTCTCCCAATCAGCAAGAGTAAGAGTGCAAATGAGTTCGAACTCAATTCTATGACTCGCGACCTTCTTCGGTCATAGCTTGAGCTCTGGCTTGCGTTGACCGAGTTCGAAGAACTCGAACTGCTTGACAAGCTTGTGCTTAGGTCTAAGATGTGAAGCTTCAAAGTTCATCAAGCTTAATCGAACTCAATCGAACTTCACACACACACACATATGAGTGTGAAATGTTTATCTTATCCCTTACTCGATTGGGCTCGATTTGATCAAGATCGAACTCAAGTAAGGCATAATAAAATCGAACTCGAACTCCAGCTCAACTTTCACTTGCTCAACAAGTTCAGGCCCAAGCTTTTTAACTCAAGCCGAGTTCAAGTAGTATCAATTGCACTCCTAAGCAAGAGACAGACAACCTCAAAATTTTTAAGTATATCCATGCATAAAAGTCAGACTCCTGTAGCATCATAGTACGGTACATTTCTGGACCAGAAGGATATGCAAAAAGCAAACTGCCTCACTAGAAGTGTAGAAAATGGCCTTTTGACAACGATTTCAAGAAAGTAATTGCCTTCTACTGCCACGTCGTTTTCAGAATCTCCAAAAGGTATTTCACCATTTAAAAAGATGAGAAGTTTGTGGGTGGGAGATGGCCTTTAAGAATCGTGAGAGAATTGAAGAACATGCTATTGCTATCCATACTTTTAAACTTCCACATAAAATGGCTAGAATGAAAAGCTCTTCAATGACTACAATGGGCAGAGTAGGAGAGGGAGGTGGGACTAGGAGAGAGAAGGAGAGGCGGGGGGTGGGGAGAGAGAGATTCTCAAGAATTTAAGTTGAATGGATTCTTGAAAAACGAACTCTGAAAAGAAGATACCTACTAGACAGCTTCATACAGATAGCAACGAGAAGGTTACAACATCAGCACCAACCAATAGTTTACATCAAACCCTGCTCAAAAGAAATACCGGTTACATTGTCTAGAAGGAAAAGACCTTTTCTAAGCCGTTACATGATATGTGGGCCTCTGTAAATGGTTTGGATGTAATCCCTAATAAGGAATAAATGAAAAGAATAACGAACAAAAAGTAATTAAAACACCAGAAATGAATAGAATCTTTTCTGCCCTTATCCTTGTGATAACAGAAAAGATTATTCATTTGACAACTAAATTCAAGTCCTCGGATCAGGCCAGGCTATTTGAGAAACCCCATAAAACCCAACCAACATGAGAGAAGGGAGAGAAGGCAGGGGAGAGGAAGTTTATTCTTGTCAGATTTTTTTCCTCATTGTCAAGGAGAGAAGATTTTTCCTAATAAAGTAAAAGCAACATTGGACACTTGAACCATAAGCTTGAAAATCTCTAAACAGTGCAAAGATACAATTTCCATATATGTTAGCTAACAACATAATAGTGGCAATGAACCCTCTCTATGCCCATTTGCCATTTATACTACACAGTTTTGCACCTTTATCAGGGTAATCATCTTTAATCAAGTACATATTTATCCTACCTATTGTTTTTGTTTTCTTATGTTACATCATTGACCCCCAAAAACAAGGAGCAGTTTTTATGCTCGTTGTACTTCCAAAATGAACACGTATATACAGCATCAATAGATAGGACAAACCTCCAAGGAAGCACAAGAATATTGCTTAAGGCGTTTGTTCCCCTCAAACAATTCACTCTCAGCAACCTCCAATATTTCCTGCATGTCGATCTCCCAAAACTGCAGTGCTTCAAATATCAGCCACGCAAGAAAAGATTTAGACATAAGTATTTTAAAATTTAAGATATTTAAAGAAGCATCAGAAAAGAAAAACCTCAAAAGCAGTTGACTTTCTATTCTTCTCAAAGAGCATAAGTTGCCTTTAGGTATTCTACAATTTCAGCACTCTCAAACATTTGCACCCCAGTATTTGGATCTTCAAGGTAGGGAGCCTGCAAGCATGCAGCATGAGTGATCTTGCTTACAAACAATTGATAGATGGGACTAAATCAGGGTATCAAATATTATGACCTGAAAATGTCCTGCTTTCTCATACAGCACCTGTCGTTTTGGACTTCCACGGGCACAACTGCAGCATAAATCTTGTAATCAGGATTAGCAAGAAATTGTTCTGTTTCAGTACATCAAGTAGGTAATATGGAATCTAACTTAAGAACTAGAGAAATGGCTAAAGCAATCTAAAACTTTGAGTGAAATGCTTCACTCCCCCCCCCCCACCCAAAAAAAAGCACCACCCTCACCCCCTCTCCGCTTCTTAAATCCCACCTTCCCCTGCTAGGCCAAAAAAATTGAAAAAAAAAAGGTATAGCCTAAATACAATTAATGCTAATTAAAGAAGTAAAATGTGCATCACATTTTTTTTAAAAAAATTTTTTTGCAAGGGAGGGGCGGAATTTCAGAAATAGAAGGGGGGGTGGGGAAAGGAATTTGAATCTAGGACCTCTAATTCCTAGAGCCTCAACCTTAGCCACAGACCAAGGCCTCCTTGGCTAACTTTGGGCTTATTGGATCCTTTAACTTTTCAGCGTTCATGCTTTTAATCTACACATAAAAAAAAAAAAAAGAAACTTTAACCACATGAGATGAGAAGCAAAACAGTGTGATTGGATGTATGCTGCATTATAGCAACATATTCAGAGGTCATCTACATGGTTCCAAGCAAATCGAGCATACACGGCTTTCCAAGGCTCTCCATCATCTCCATGAGAATATATTTTATTGTCAATGAACCAGTCAATTTAATCAACCATATTAAGAACAATAATGTCTATTCTTGGAGTGATTTGTGATCAGCAATGAAGCTTTTCAAAATTATTTGTAATTGTGTTGATCATGAAAAACACGCAAGGACATTACCTACGAAGTATGTGAGGTAGCTCTAACTCCACAAGTATTTCTCGAACAACTTTACAAAATGGAGAAGCCTACAATAAAAGATGGATACATTAATACATTATGACATATCACGCTGACACATGGAAATAAAGGACCTAAATTTATAGGTGTCCACTAAGCATGACTTTTGCCTTATCCTCTCTAAGAAAGGTGTCATATATCCTTCAGGTCAGCAGATTCTCACCTCATACGCCCATATCTCAAGGGGCTTCAGTGGCATTTTTGATGGCGTATAGGAAGAACCCTGAAAATGTTACAAGAGAATCCATCAGTCTAAATAACAGCATAAATGAAGTGAAATGGGATGACAGACTTTTTGTTACATTCAACAGGGAATGCATGATTACATGGCAGACAAATACCCACACACACACACACACTCTCTCTCTCTCTCTCTCTCTCTCTCACATCTACAGAGAAAGAGTAGCATACCATACCTTACCCATGCGACCAATCATGGCAAAACCTTCAGTAAGAGTCTACAAAGAGAAACAGTCAGCAAGCAACACAAATTACTCCATGTCCTCTGCTAACTAGTGTAGTTAGGGCTTAAGAATTGCTTACTGTTAGTAGACCAAGAGACAACATAATAGGGACATTTCCATCACCTGCAATGAAACATATAAATACAGTCAATATAAAAGGTATACAAACTGGAAAGAGTAAAAGGGATGACGGGATAAAAAGTAGGTTAATTGTCTTGCAGAGACAGTTCTACACTTGCTAGACACAGTATGGAAGCCACAGAACAAAATCAAGTTTGAACTCCAAAAATCTTGTTGGGAAACTCTCTTTAAGCTCTAAAAAAAGGCATATACAAAGACTTTTTAGAGTTTTTAGAACAAAGGACTGTAAGAGCAGAATTCTAGAGTTTTTCAGAACAAAGGAATGTAAGAGCATCATTATCTATTACAAAAGTGAAAAACTTAGTAATATACCCAAAAAAAAAAAAGTGGAATACAAGAATAAATCGAGAATCAAACTTATCAAAATGGTGTACCATACTTCCCAACCAGGTACTTAATTATTTCATCCGACTCATACATAGCGACCCCAGTATTTGGATCAACCTGCATTTGAAGGAATAAGGAACAATTAACTTCCACGTGTCAAATTCTTCTTAACAGAAAACTAAAGAACACAGGAAAAAGGCAAAAGGCTCATGGATGTAGGCAGCAGAACTTGATAAGTAAGCACCATAGGTAACAAGATTTTACATGTACTTTGCCTTTCGCAACAAAGAGTATAAAGTTGAAAATTTCCAATTCTCAGCAGTCAGTTCAAGGATAAAGGACACATCCATCTAGAAGAACATATTTTGCCTAAATGAATCAATTGAAGTACAAATAACCATGAATTTACCATCATAAAAATGATATCCAAGTTTTATAAAGGTGAATTAGCATTAGTAGCTTAAATAAGTAAATGAAGTGTTATAAAGATAGTATGAGAATCTCTTCTGAAAAGAAACAAAAAACACGGGACTCTTCAGAATTTATTGAAACAATAGAAAGGAAAGGAAAAAGGAAATTCAAATCTAACCATGTAGGGGAACTGTCGTTTTCCACCCATTTCAACAACCTTGGGACGGAAATTTGGGCCATTCTTTGGACAAGGGTAGTATAGAACATCAAGATCCAGAATTGCGACAATTTCCCGTACCTGCCATATGTTTAAAATCATAGGCTAACATGTATGGAGAAAGAAATGCCCACATGACATGTACAATACCTATGGAATTGCTTATATGTTAGAACGTATGGTTGTTCAACCTCCCAAATGAAAACCAGAGACAAGTTTCATGCTAAACTATCAATTGCTCATTAAGCTGCCTAACACTACAAAGACTAACTGCAAAAAGGTTATGTCCATAGCACCAGATTTTTACTGAAAAATGAAATACAACATAGGTAAATGCCACACAAATCTAGATCTCATAAATGATCCAAAAAAGTGATCAAATGTCTAGTCCAAAGAGAATTTTTCTTCCCTGGGGAGCAAACAAATTTTGTACAACAAAAATTCGTGTTTGTATTATCACACTATTTTGCTGAAAAGAAAGAAGAATGAATCTCAAACAGAGGTGGTTACCTTTCGACAGAAGGGGCAGCTGGAACAAATTTCCATGCAGTCGATTGTCACGCACATTTGGAAGAGCAAAAAATGCATTAGTCTTGAAATATTCAGTTATTGAAGAATTGAAGAAAAAAGTTGTGGGTTAATCATTTGAGGCACTCAAAGAATTGCATACCTCTAACTGTAAAATAGTGAAATGGATGAGCGTGCTTGTGGGCTTTGTGTGTGTGTGTGTGTGTGTGTTGTACATCTGTATGCATATCTTTAAAACTAGATACCTTTCAAATTCATATATCTCAATGGGCCTTTCAGGGCGTGGACCTAACTTTGAAGTCTCTTTCACCTTGAAACCTGTTAACATAAGGTTGACCTTAACGCTTTCATTTTGAAAATAAAGAAAAACCCTGCAAAGTTCAGAAGGAACTTGATGACTACCAGCAATTTCAAGAGC